CATCATTTCATGTCTGTGACTGTTTTGATTTGATGTCTTTGCTTTTACGAAAATCTGTTTATTTTATTCTCGGTTTTATCAGTTTTTGATCTCTGTGTCATTTCGCAACATTTTATGTTTGAATTTTTAAATCACAAATTTTTTTTGCACGTTTTGAATCTGATTGGTCCTGCATTTATTTGAAATTGTGTCTGATTTTTTTTCACGTTTTATGGTTTCCAGTTTGTTTCATTTCTGAAACAAACTCAGCAGCAGAGACTCCAAAACTAACAACTTCTTACTAAAAAATGTTTTGACCTTATGATGTATTTCTCTTCCTGGTTACAACCCTGGAGGAGTTGACTTTTACGTCAGACGTAGAACGTAACTCATTTTGTTTAGACTAAAGAAAGAACACATGATAAGACACACAACAACTCTTTGTTTTAAACTTAAAGTGCCGGTGACATCAGATTTTTGTAATAAATATGAATTACTTTTTGAAAGATAACAATGATAACACATTGCAAAAATAAAAAAAATCACACCACTGTGATGAAAAGTTGAGATATTTATATGTGAAGTAACAGGAAGTGATGCCAAAGAGAAATGTCTGAACAGAGAACATGACAACACAGACTGTAGAGAAGAATTTGATGTATTTTTAGGTTATTTTGAGTCTCTATAAGTGAGAGATGAAGACGTGTCAAAGTTTAAATATTATTGTTTCAATAAACAAAGACCAGAGTTCCCCTTTGATGTCACTTCCTGTTTCATTTTAGTTGAGCCAAATTAAGAAGATCTGCCAGTTAAAAGACAAAATGGGTAAAACTGTGTGTATTATACCAAATTTCTTAAAGAAAAAGATGATTATTTTTACTTTTTGTATTTGAAGGATATGCATGTCACAGAATCAGKAAGTATAAAATTCAAAAGTGCATCTAATCTGCATCATTTATAAAATSTCCTTCAGGCTCACAACGTCCAACATGAAAGGTGGCAGGTGATCCTTTAATAACCACCTTATAACTAATATGAAAGCATCTTTTTAGCTTTTGATGCAACAAATGAGAGCATGCAGCCCTAAAGACCACCATCTTCCACCTCGTATGGATCTTTCCTAAAGTTCAGAGGATGTGACAAAGGCAGCAGCGAGGAGTGACTCCATCCAGARCCCGTCTGCCTCCCCTCCCTCGGACCGAATCGATACGAAGCAGAGCGGTCAGGWGGGGGAACAGAAAGGCTCAGCGAGCTGATGACTTCACCGTACATGATTCCATCGATCCGCCGTCCTTGGAGTTTAAAGTTACCGTCTGCTCGACAAAGGCCGGCCCCCCCACATGAAGACCCACAAAGACTGGGAGTAATGGAGGAGAAGAGGGAGAGTGATATCCACCCCGACACCCCCTCCTCTCTGCCACACAAGGAGCAACGCCGCGGCCGCGAGGGATTACATCTGCAGCCGAGCGTCCCAATAACACAAGGTCACCTTAAGTGGATTGGGGGGGGGGGGGGGGGGGGGGGGGGATTCCCTCGGGACAAAAACAGCAGCAAGTCATGAAAAAGTAATTAAGCAAGATGCACATGAGTGGATGCCACAGGCAGGGAGGGGAGCTGAATGTTTGCACACAACACGTCTGAGGAGAACCTCACAGCAGCCTGACTCCTCTCAAGGTTTCACTGATCGTACGGCAGGAAAATACGTCACGTATTCTTAAATTCATGATGGGAACACCAGGAAGGACAAGCTGTGAAGAGTCCAGGAGTAGGCTCAGAGAACGATGTTCAGAAAGAATAAGGAAACCACAGACCGGACCGGACCGGACCGGACCAGACCGGACCCATGAGGGTTCTGCTCTCCTTCAGCTGTGACAGAAACAAATCTTCTCCCAGCTGCTTGAGAGACGTGAAGATCAACATGCCTCAGAGCTCACTGACGTCTTTACAACTCTGTGCTGTTCTTTTCTGTCATGCTCACACACACACACACACACACACACACACACACACACACACACACACACACA